TCAAATATTTATTTCTATGATTCCATCATTTGTGGTCGAGATTATATTGCAATTACCCAAAGATTGGGATAAAATTGCCAAACGCAAAAAGGTTAAGATTTATTTAGCAATTATCCTAAAATTCTATGGAGCCATCGGATGGGTTTCTTATGGAGTCATCCACCACTTAATGTATTGACACTTGTCCAAATTGTATTTATTGTAGGACAAGTGTCAATACATTATTGGTGAGTAAGTGTGGATAGTTCCATAAGTCGAGTCATTCGATGTTTCTATAGCAAAACTGTAACTGTAGTATAATAGGTGTGCAATAACCTCACCAAACTTTCAATTATATAATGCACTGTTTCTTTTATTAGTCTTTGCAGCACGCATTAATATATATTATTTGGTAGATTTGGATTGTATCAAATCTTAGTGAAGAAAGTTGGTCTCTTAACATGAAATTAAATAATTCAAGTATACCAATATGTATATGCATTAGCATTAAAATAAAAATAATACCATGCATGGAATTAATTATAATAAATCAAGTACATCAATATGTATAAGTGTCAGCATTAAAATAAGAAGAATATTCCTATTATTGTAAGAATTTGTGTTATACATTTAGAATTATTGTAATTTGTGACCGTTGAATAAATTATGCAGGATACGTGTAAGGTTGCATGGAGACAGTATACGTGTGGAGAGATGCTACATTTCCGTTATTGAACTATTATGTTGAGATTTGTAACTGTTAGATCATCATGTGATCGTCAAGAATAGTTGATCTAACGGTTACAATGTCCGACGGAATAACAATTTTCATATGTATATACCGTGCATGAAAATTGTATTTAAATAAAATTAAATTTAAAAAATGTGTCCAGATGGTATAGTATTACAAATCCACGTTGAAGGACGTTATTGTTCAATTGAATTAATTAATTTAATAAAATTTTTGCTAGAGATTAGCACAAATTAAGCTTTCCCACCAGTAGTTAGTTAGGTGTAAAATTTACAGTTTAATAATACAAATTCAGTAGTTTTCGGTTATAATTTTGAATAAACAATTTTTTAATATACTAGTACAACGCCCGTGTATTACACGGTGCTTGCTAATTTTTTCTTAAAATTTAAAATTAATAAGAAAAAATAGTTGAAAATTTAAATATATTTTATAAAAAATATATATATTATTATATATTTAGTATGACACTTTTTATCTGTGCAACTTACATGTGTTATATTATAATATTTTTTTAAACTTACAACATATAACTACATTAAACATAAATATATCAATTGAGAAATAATTTTATTTTTCTAATGAATTTTAATAAATATTATTATTTATTATTATTATAAAGATAAATATAATTTATTTATTTCATATATACAATATGTATGTCAAATCGAAGATCATCAAAAGATGATTAATTTGATATATTATATATGTAAAATCGATAAGAAATACAAAAGTTATCAACTTTTAAAATACATTTATAATTCAATAGCTAATTGAAGGAAACAAATCAAAAGTCAGAGATATATTAGTCACTTAGTGCCTCAGTATGTAAAATTACAAAAAAAATAAATGGTTTTATTAGTACAAGTAATATTAAAATACCAAAGTTAGCTAAATAATATTTATAGAATGTCCAAACCTAAACTATTAATTATTAATATATCAATATTATTTGTCCAAACCTAATTACAAAGCATGATTATTTGCCAAGTAGGATTCCGAAGCACCAGAAGCAGTCACATAGGCTCAACGCATTCGGTAATAATATATAGGAAGGAGATTAATGTCAATGAAGGGCAGCCCACCTTGAAAAGTTACAAATTCAAATGGGAAATTTTCACTCTTCCCGTAAGAATTGCAAAGTATTGCAGATTTACCACTCACCACATTTTTTTTGGATATGTGCCATAACTGAGTGAAAATATTATATATCTAACATTATTGAGA